TATACCCTGTGTAAAATGACACGATTTTCAACTGCATATGCGGGGCTAAAGTGGATTATTTTTTCCCTAGGGAAAAAATGAAATGACGTCACGCAAATTAGGAAATTAACTAAGCCAATCACAAATTATCTTCGAAATGTCAATCATCAATTTGAACTTGAACGTAAATGATTATTGATTAACTATAAAAGTAACATTTCAATATTTCGGAAAATGTCATTATATAAATCATTCCTTAAAGGAAACTGATTTAATCGTAAAAAACCGTATGTAAGTACTGTAAAGAATTTAAATTTTACTTATCTACTTATAGGTTAGGTGATTTGGAGGTTAAGAAAACGAGACTATCTTTTTAGTTCTTACTCCCAGGTCTTTGTGGTCACTATTTTAATTGTAGTTAAAACCTACACATTTGGATTCAAGGTACGGGTATCAAGAAAACTATTTATTTGGTGCAAATTTACTGTTATCATTATTAATTGAAAAAATTTCTATTGAATTTGCAGCAGCAATTTCTATTCCTTTGGAAGGTATCTCGGGTATAACAGAAGCAGAATCGAATGGAATGCAGCAATTATTACATCAGGTGGAGTACCAGAAACACTACATTCACTATCAGTCTATCACTGTCCATTTTTAAAGTTCAAGTTTGATGGTTTTTGAAAATTCAATTATTGGTAGTTTTCGCTGTGTATGGATTGAAATTTTAAAAAAAAAACCCCAACCTGAGAGCTTTTTTGTAAAAAAGTTACATCGCAAAACTATTAATTAAATTTCTTAAGCAATACATTGAAAAATTATTTCACCAATTCGTCAAGTGGGATGAAAACATTGGAAGCCCCGAAAACCTCAAGGGTATGAACGCCAGAGATGTACTCACACTGGACATAAGAAGCATGTAGGGCGAAATTGATATAAAAATGAGAATGTAATTTCTATGTAAAACGAAGCTTTACAGCAGCGTAAGAACACCATAAACCAGTGGTACAAATCCGAAGAAATAACGTTGCAAACTTTTCTGAAAGCTCGGGTGTAGATTACCTTTTACGCTTTGACGAACGTTTTTATAAACTACAATTTGTACTACAAATGTGTTAGTTTCTATTAGTAAGGTACCTACATCTACATGTGTCAATTATGTAGGTGTACAATCAAAGAGTATAATACTCTGGTACAATATATTTTGCAGCAAAAAGGTACCCATTCATACATTTTTAGTAGAACTGTTGTTACTTTGTACGAATAATATACTCCCAGTAACTTATTCTCCATTTTTATAATTCCATCTTATTGATATCTTGATTATAAAGAGATAAACAGGGCAGCCTGCAGTTCCATGCAATGCAAATTATGTAACCTAGAAATTGAATGCTCTAATTATTATGTTTGTTTAGCAGCAACTTACAGTTGTTATAACACAACAATTACTCTTCTGTTTTTATAATTCTGCTGCTCAATTTGTTGAAAAATGCATATTGTACCTAGTTACTTATAACCTAACTTTTTAATTTATTTGTGCATCTGCACGATTTAAGATTACGAATCGAATACCACAGCTAGAAGCAACGCACTGGGCGAACCTGTTCGGCAACTCGATTAACCTCGGGAGCGGTGAGTAAGCTAGCTTTCCGTACGTGCTTTGTGTTTTGCGTATCTAAATGGCGGTTTCGACAATAGACTACTGTTTTTATAGTAATGATTATTTGAGGGGTATAGAAAAAAATAGTGTATTATACACGGGGAAAAAGCAAATTTTAGCGCTCACATAATTGCCTCCCTCCGCTACGCGTCGGGAGGCAATCCTTATGCTCGCGCTAAAAACACTGACTTTTCCCCCTTGTATAATAAATAGCTATTTATTAAGGGTATCTAAACATTACGGCGTTATTTATTATACCGTGATTTGCGCAATTACATTTTTCAAACAATTTTTCGGACTCCTCGTTGGAACAAAATGCTGAAAATTCAGTAACGCCAATGATGTGAGTCACAAGTTCGGCGGCATATCCTCTTCTTCGATACTCCGGTAAAATATAGATGTAATTCAGCATCTTGGGATTTTTTATGAATATCTAGAGGATCGAAGTTCATTCTTGATATTAGCGCAAATGCTGCAGGTTTCGAATTCAGGTACCTAATGTAGCAGTAGACGCCCTGATCGATGTACCACTGATAGAGAAAAACATCATCTATCTTTAAACGCTTTATCTCCTTAACTGCTTCTTTACCTCGAAATAATCGTATATTCGTCATCTTCTGAACTGAAAACGTATATCACTCTACATCTATATTTATATGGGTAGGTATGCAATAACGGAAGCAGCATCCGGTCATCGGCAGGAAGCAGCATCCGGTAAATTCTAATCAGCAGGAAACAGCGTCCGGTCGTTAACAGGAAACTAACATCCGCTGTTGTAAACAGGATATCCTAATCAGCAGGATATGCTAATCAGTAGGAAACGTAAATGGCGGGAATAGGAAGCAGCATCCGCTCTTCCAATCATCAAACCTTGTGTAGCTATTTTTAATGAGGTTTTCCTGTTTTTATCGCACTTGACGACTGAAACCCGTTCGAATGGGAAATTTGATAATAAAATGATCTCGATCTATAACTTATAATTTTATTATACATACTGAAGCTTCGCCATTACATCATTAGCAATAATTGACGGATTGTAATGTAGGATTTCCTCTAAACACATTTTTCTGTAATATACTTCTATGCACAGCTGATTAATTAAGTATCTAGCATCTTCGTATACATCAGCGATAGGCGCGGTCTCCTTATTACTTCTTTTCAAGTCAACCATTTTATTGATAAATATCCGGTAAAAGGTAGCGAAGTTATAGGACCCTAGTTGTTGTAGTCTTGAGTTTATTGCATATTTCATGTTGAACAACTCCTCAATCTCGTTTCTATGCATGCAGCACGATTGATTAAATTGTCGAATATCGATGGTGGTTATAATTTTATCCGAATCATCGGTAAATTTCCAGTTATAAAGTAAGCCTAAAGTGTCACTTAATGGTTCATAGTAATCTTCATAGTTGACGTCTTCATAGATGAGGTCTTCAGCAGACCAACATTTTTCTGTTTTCTTTGATCGATATAGCTGTATTTCGGTATAGGGCTGCCATTTTAAAAGATTGTTCCAATCTTCAACTGTCAATATGACACCGCAACCCTCGCTCTTGCAAGAGAGGCGTAAAACAGGTTCCTGATGAAGACAAGTGCTATAACCTATTTCAATATCCTTACTATCCCTGAGAACGTATCGTACAGCACCAATTAACGTTTCCTTTGTCGCTTGATAATATATTTCAGCTAATTCCTCTTCTAAATACCCGTATGATGTTGATGATGGCGATGTCGCAACATCAGACGATGATGTACAGGACCAGCAGTTACACATGTTATCGCCTTCACTCTTGTAGTTAGACTAAATTATAGGGAAAACTTATAGATGGTATGAATCAATAGCGTAGTGGAGACGGAAATAGCATGATGCGATTTAAGAACCTTAGCCTCCTTACCAGCAGGTTTGTCCTTTAGGAATCAATCATCTTGCTAACTAATACAATGGCCTATCCTACCAGGTCCAACGGGTTTGCCAATTAGTCCAGGTGGTTTGTCATCAGCTTGTCAACAGGTTCAACGGGTTTGTTTGTTTGTTCATATCGGTACCAAACCGGTTCAAAGCAGTTCGAAAGCGGTTCAGAAGCGGTTCAAAGCTGTTCGAAAGCGGTTCAGAAGCGGTTCAAAGCGGTTCAAAAGCGTTTCAAAGCGGTTCGAAAGCGGTTCAAAAGCGGTTCAAATCAGTTCGAAAGCGGTTTCCAAAGCGGTTTCATAGCGGTCCAAAGGCGGTTCACAGCTGTCCAAAACCGGTTCAGAGGTGGTCGAAAGGCAGTTCATAGCGGTCCAATATCGGTTCACAGCAGTTCTAAAGCGGTCCAACGGCTTTTTCAACTGATCCAAGGGTTCTACCTATCTGATCTAACGGCTTTGCCAACTGTTCCAGCGGGGTTTGCTAACTGACCTAAAGGAGGTGTGATCCTTTTAATTCCCATAGCTTGCTTTTCCGTAAAGGCATAAAGGGGTTCAGAACAGAGGACAGAAACCATTTGGTGTTGTGTTGTCGAGAAGAGCAGCCCTTCAACGATGTCTAAAGCGTGTAATTGGGGAAGACCTTGTAACTGTAGCGACTGTCGACCTGAGCTAAAGGAAAAATGTGAAATTTGCTGCGAGAGAGAAGGATACCGCGTTGGAAGTACTTTAAGAAAAGACAGAAAGGGGATAAAGTACTATGACTTTGAAACTTGTTGTCAACAATGCTATCAGGAAAATTATGGGGAGAGAGAAGAACGAATCTTTAACATGATGCTGCAAATTCTCGAGGATTCGATTAAAAATCCTCCCAAAAAGCCTCAACCTGTCCCTGTCTACGTTACCGAGCGAAAAGAAATTAAAGAGGTGTTGTGCAGATTATTCGGAAAAGAACTGTATATGTGTGAAGATGATAGATGTCGACGCAGAATACCACAAATTCTTGATAAACTTAAAGTGAAGATTGTTTGGGAAAACAAGAACGGCGGGAAATTTGAATATGAAAGTGATGAAATTGGATACGATCATACGACTGATTGGTTTGAACAGTATATTTTACCTGAGATAATAAAGAAAATAGCGGGACCTATTTGGGTTAAAACATTGCAAATTTCCCCTACATATAGATTACCTAAGGTCGTATATGTAACAAAGGGCTAAGTTCTCCGTAGAGAATGGTATAGAAAACATTTATAGTGAGGCTGATAATTTTTGCAAGAGACTACACTTCAAATTATTCTACGAAACTGTTAAAGTCGCTAAAGGTTGGTAATCATATATACCTTGAGGATCTATTAGGAGAACCTATAATGGGTCACTTCGATGCTGAAGAAATGTAGAAAACAGCTCATCCGAGAAAGTTTTAAGGCGTAAAGGAGACAGTTAGTCGTTTACTGTAGCAATACTGATATCAATTAAGTAGCTCCGTACATTAGAAGAATATGTAAACGAATTGAAGAAATGGTAATATCGAGATATCAGCGATGAAGAGGAAAGTGTGGAACGGAATAAAAGAAAGAGTAATGTGAAGAAGAAAATCAGAAGGAAGAAAAAAGAGCTGTACAATAGCAAGTTTTGCTTAAAAAGCTCGTTCTCAGACTCGTTTGTATGGTTTGACACAATGAAACAAAAAAATAAAATTTACATCTTGCGAGCTTGGTCCTATGCTTACAGAGAAGCAAGAAAGGGTCCGTGGGAAACTGTCGCATTAGATAGGTACCGCTTCAAATGTAAAATAGAACGCATTGCAGCTGTTTTAGAGCCCATATTATGTAATCGTATTAAGATGTATCAATTGCAATAAATTATATGAGTATTATAAATAAGTATAATAAACGTTAGATAAAGCGCAACAACAAAGTGAGCGTATATGATAGTAGCAACATGCTTCTAATTTACGTAAAGCTGGTTCTTCTTCCACCTCGGTGACATTTTGCGATAGAGTTTTTTTCGAATGAAATCGGCTTTTTCTTTTCCTTTAACGTATACTTGGTCTGATGATGATATTAACTGGCGAAGTATAATTGGAAACATGTAGGATGGCGTATGACCATGCTCCCATTTAATTCCGCGATGGTTATGGATTAGCCAGGTAGCTTGACGTTGTAAGCCATCTGCTTTCCATTATAAATATTGCAAGCTCTTTCGGTAAATTCGTTTCTTGTTTTAAAGACTTGTACATCGATTTCCCTTGACATTATGTCGTCGAAGGAAGACTGAATATTGATTTCCAAAATAACAACATGCATACTTGTCTGGCGAGCGCTTTTACGCAAATACCTACTATTCAAATATTTATTCAGTATAAAGCGGTCACATCATCCAATGCAATTTTATAGATAACGCGCTTCTTCGGTTCTATTGTTATCAATATGACACCTTTGACTTAAACGCCTACAAGTTCTAACGGTTTCCTGTTAGTCTTGCACCTATATATCCTCAAGTCTAACTATCATGTCCCGCAAAATTTCTAGAAAGAATTTATGCTTTTCCTATTAAAACAATGCAACTATATAGGTGTCCTTGAGTCGTAATCTTAAGCTACGCTTTACGAAATTATCAATGGCGGCAGCTCGTGAGTAAATAGAATATATAGGTATCGTTAAACTTTAGTTATAGCAAATTTTAAAATCTACTCATCTCCAGGGCATAACGATAGTCGATGTAGTGAAACAGCCGGCTTTTGAATAGGTCGAGGTAATACTCAAAAGGTATATGGAATTGGTCAATGAAACGAAAAGTATTCAAGTTTATCGTATCACCTTCAAAGTAGACCTCCTTCTAAAATAATACACTACCTACGAGCATACTAATTTTTGAAGGTCTTCAGACTTCGGGAACCCTCCGCAACGTACGCATTTTCAAAACTAATAGGATGCTTTGATCGATAATAATACAAATCTATCAGCGGCATGTACCAAATGTTTTACCTATATAATATCACGTTCTATAGAGGTATGGCGATATTGAATATAATGAGTGAAGGATGTAAATTTTTATTGTATGTTTATCTGCATACCCCTTTGTACCGAACTTCCTATGACATCGTTTGTCATAGCTGTGCAATCTGTACAGGTTTCCTATCTAAATGGATAGCAATAAATAAAACTCCTCCTCGAAACCGTTCGATAGTCAGTTGCGAAGAAAATGGAGGGTAAGAATGACCCCTTTTCTATTTTTCATCAAACTTAATGTATGTAATTTTTCAGCTCAAGGTGCGGCCATCATCTTTGGCCCATTGCAGACGGCCTATGGTAAATACGCCACATATCTATCACACGTTTAACCATATATTTGTAGAACGAGAACTCCGAACATATCTCAAACAAAAATATGGATCTGTAAGTACTTTTCATGCATCATACCGTATTTTAATTAGCTCTTATTTAGGAAAATGTTGCTATTTTACGGGGTCGGGGGGTAATCCCTGACTCCGTAAAGATAGAGGAAGGTAGCTTCCTGGGGCGGAGGTTCCAGGTCTTTAAGGACCTGGAACTACAAAACACGTACTGGGTGTTTTATGTAAGTGTTATCGTTTCAATTATAATGTTTACTTCAATGAATTTTTTTTTCCAGAACTAATAAACCCGCATTAAATTTTGTTTTGTTTTACTTATCCACTCCATTCTGACTAAGCCCTTACCTAAAATAATAAGATGTAGTGATTAGGGTGTTATCATTTCTTCCGTAAAACAAGTGTTCAGACACCTCCTCCCACCCAGCACGCGAAGGTAGAGCGCCTACTTAGAAATATGTACTATGGTAAACAAGATTATAGGTTAGAAAGGGGCCCTCTTACCACTTGTTGACAGTGAATACGGCAGGCCTTCATCTCTATCCTGGTTTGGAATTTAGAAGCTTGGCTTATCGCAGCATTCATACGTCTAAGTGTATTATGTTCAATAGGTGATCATGTCCAGTATTATGACACTGACTCTATAATCTATATATCAGCGGAAGGACAACCCAATCCGCTAACAGATAAATATTTAGGCAACTTAACGGCTGAATTAGAAGCTGAAGGTTCTGAGAGTTGGATTGAAGAAGAATTCGTGTGAGGTGGTTCAAAGGATTTCCCTATACGCCAACTACGCCCTGGCGTTTGGCGGCGTACGGACGGTGGCGGCACCGAGTACACTTGACGCGACAACAGCTGTATGTCGGGTGTCGGCTATGGGCTACTTCAGCTACTTGAGATGTACCGAGAATTGATTATACATGCTCTTTTTCGTGGTTCGAGATGCACAAGCAGTACTATTAAAAAGGTAGGCCTATTAGTTATTTTTTTTATACACCCTGTGTAGAGAAATATCTAATGGGAATCCTATAACGAGGCCGTAAACATCTCCAATAAATTGCATTATTTCTAGTGTGAATTTATTGCCTCCTGGGTGGTCATGGAAAGAGGTGTATCTAACCAATAATAATTTAACCAAAGCTATACAAGGTAGATCGACAATTCGGTAACTTGTTCCTCTTCTAGAATATACGCAGCTAAATGTCCATTTTACTATTTAACAATTACGTAATTATGCTATAATTGGGGATTTAATTTACAATTCAGGGTGATTAGACATAGGTACAATTTTCAGCAGGTCTATATTCAGCTTCAGCATTACATATTACAATCACCCTAAGTTTATGGGTACGGTATTGATTTGATTGAATGATTCATTAAAAATTAAAAGTGCCACTTATTTAGAATACTTAGGTTATACTTACATTATAGATTTTACATACCTAAGTGTCATTAATTGCGAGTGAAGCGATCGAAAAAAATTTTCGTCCTATTTGGTAAGCTTGAAATAGGCGGTAAATTGCATCTGGCGTAGAGCGCAAATGTGTAAATCCGCCGCTAGATTATACTTATAGATATTAAATTAAGAAGCTCACCTTATAATCAATATTATCGTTATATAAATGTAGATCCGAGAAAAATTGATTTAACTGAATACCAAACAAATTGATGTAATACATAATTCACAATGTTATCGCATTTATTTATCACAACTGTATTATTCTCTACTCCTGATCAATAAATGTGAAGTATAGATATTAATAATAATAATAAATCCGCACGCCGTTTAACCATGATGATGATGAAGTCAATCCTCCATTGGGGTTTGATATCGGCTAAAAAAGATATCAATGTAGGCTTTTTATTACAAAATAATTTTGATACTTACGGTCCAACTCTGATGTAGACTATTATTTGCTGAACAGCCCATATAAAATAATCGCCGAATAAATACAATAAAATGTCAATAAATCCGAACGCCGTTTAACCACGATGATGAAGACAATCCTCCATTGGAGTTTGATATCGTCTAAAAAGGTATCAATGTAGGTTTTTTATTACAAAATAATTTTGATACTTACGGTCCAACTCTGATGTAGACTATGTTTTCTGCTGTCAGCTTATTACTTATAAACGCCCATATAAAATAATCGCTGAATAAATACAATAAAATGTCACGCTTTTCATTAAACTGCAAATTATGCGCGCATGGACACGTATCCCTAAGAAAAGTAAATTATAAGCAACCAAAAATTGAAAAAGGGCTTACCTGATGTATATAAGCAGCCACCTGTCTATATATCCACATACACACTTATTGAAATCGGATTGCGGATGCACGCCGTTTTTAAATACTGCGGAACGTCGAATTTATAATTATATAGAACGTACTTCGCCGTAAAGATATACACATTTTTGTACTTTTTTGTACTCATTGAATGGAAAGATAATGTTTCCAAGCATCCTCGATGCACGGGAAAACGACTTTCCCGCATCGCGGTGTTTTTTAGTTTCCGCTGGAGAGAAGGGGTTATGCTCGTTCTTCGGTTGGTAGTACTTATTGAAGTCAACGAACGTCATGTCATGGTTAACTGTCATCTGCTGTAAAATCAATTAAACCGTTGGTTGAGGGTATTTAGTGCGATTAATCGGAAACAGACGTACACTAAGTTTTACGTAAATATATAAACAAGAAGTTATAACGCAATCAAATTATTTTTCAGAATTGGAACTCAAGAAAAAGTAAAATTTATTGTTAAAACGTCTTAAAATGTGACCAGTGATATTCTGCAACTATTGGCATATGCAGTTTAAGAAAGCACATCGCACTATGTGGGCAAGAGTATCGCAAATCTAAAAAACAAATTAACGAGTAAATCGCTCTGATACAATTTCCGAAAACTACTAATGTGATTTTCTGCCACACAATGAAAGCTATGTAAATCTTTTTTGGTGCAAATGTTACATTTTTACAAACACTTTATGGAACACTAATACGAATTTCTCAGATCATTTCCAAAATTTAGCAATTAGGTTATATGATAGTTTAGCACTATTGCATTTTGTTCTCAAATTTGTGTTGCGTTAGTTTTACTTAAAAATAAAAAGAAATATTTCTCATATTTTTGATATATTTTTATATTTTACAATGCTATTTTAATACAAAATAAATTCATTCTTTTAAAAAATCTTAACTAAAAATGTACATGTTAAAAATTCCAGCTTAATCGTTATCACTTTTGTCTGTTTTCTCATGTGGTAAGTTTTTATAAAACTGGTGATACTGTAATGGTAAGGCCTTTTTGCTACAAAGTTCCATAAGACCATTGTACTTTTTTTTGGAAATCGGCAACGGCCGATCATACGCGCATTTTAATTTGATGTCCTTGAAACTAATCGTTGGTTTTCGTTGACGATGATCAACAAGGATTCGGTTGTAGTATTGTTGGGAGTAATCTGTCTTGAAGAATATTGTTTTTGGATGAGTCTTTTCAAAATGAATAATTTTAATTTGGTTCCAGTTTACCTTTTTTCCATCTACATCAATACTGTAGTTTTTCCCTGTATTGCCACAAAGGACCTTTATATCGTAAACATCTCTCTGTGTAACTTCATAAACCGCATATGGGGGAGACTTTTTCTTGGAGAGTGCTATTAGGGGAATCCACTGAGCAGGTACATTAATAGTATTATTGCTTTTAAGCATCCTCTTTTTTTCTTTTTCTATTGTGGAGTGCATACTGTCGCCCTCGTTTTGAGTGTGCCCTGTTATAAGGTATTTATGTGTGATAGAATGAATGTGTTTCCACTTATTTAAGGCATAAAGATAGGTAGCAGCTATAAACTTATTTTTGTTCTGACCACAGCAGTTATCTGAGTAAAATATCATACTATGGTATGTCGTGCAAAAGTTAGACAAAAAATGTAAAACAAAACTACCTATTTCGTTTGCACCTCTCTTAGCGATGGTTTCATCCCACACATAACAATATCCTAGTTTCTTAACAATATTAAAAAATGTTAAATTTAATGTTGACAACTTACTTTTGTAGAAAAAGTCGGAGGTTGTTCCACATGGAGAAGGCAACACTGCTTGCAAATCATATACGGCAACAAGGACAGAAGGATCTAAGCTAGCTGCCTGTATATCCTTTTTCTTTTCCTCGCGGCTTAGATTTTTCTGTTCATGGTGAGTTTTGTACACCCTTTCCATGTCTTCCTTTTCTTTAACAGTAGAATTAATGAAAGCCGTACATAAACTGCACTGGTCCTTTTTAGGACTGTGAAACCCAATATTATACTCGTAATTAAATATACGGGCATAATGAAAGTATTTTACGTAGGGCTTGTTGTCAGTAATGCATTTTTCGGTGTACAATCGATAAAGTGTGCTTAAATTAAGGCTACCGTCAAAGAACTTTCTCTTTGTTTGAGCACGTAAATAGTGAGACTCTACTGTCGGTATTGACTCGATATGTTCTTTAACTCCCGTTACTAGATATTCACTAATTTTATTCTTCTTGGAATGTTTACCCCTATTATCATCTTTAAGAACTCCATTTTTTGTTTTCTTTATTGCGGTTCTTATCATCATGTCACTAATATTGAGGGTTTCATTGAAAAATTTCTTGCAAACTCTAATTTGTTTAGAAGCAACGGAAAAGTGATATGCGTTGTTCTTCTTTCGGTGACTATTTGGCTTTGGGTATCTGTATTTTGGTTCGATAGGTGTAATGTGTCTGAGTATGAACTCCCTTTGTCTAGTAATATCACCCAATTGCCAAAAGGATGTTAAAATGCGCTGACGTTCTTCAGTGGATAGATTTTCGCGGCACTTAAAAGCACATTTTTCATTACAACCACTACCTAACTTTCTTTTTTGCTTGTTTTTTCCAGTGGACGATTTATATTCTTCTCCATGGTTATGCTTGTATTTTCTAATATTTCGTTTCCATTTTTCTGGTTGTTGTTTTTTTTTTCTACTGCATAGGCCCTTCTCACCTTCATCAGTAGCCTCTGAAATTTCTTTCCCCTCACCTTTTTCAATAACTTCCGTATTTACATCAACAATCCCCTCAATGCCAGTTTCTTCTTGCATTAATTGTGTGCTGCCATTATTATCGAGATTATCATTTCCCTTTTGTACTACTATATCTTGTAATATTTTGATCGTACGTTCTTGTGGAATTTCAGAGTACTCCGTGGAACAGGATGCACTAGGTAACAGTGTGAAGTGTTGTGAATGGGCAAAGAACGGCTGTAAACTTATAAAACCAGCATTTTCATTTTCTATAGCTGTAGACTGCTCATACAACTTCACAGGTGTTAGTTCGGCATATACGGGTTCATACTACATTTACCGCAATGAAGGTATAAGTTTCACTAAATTGAGAAATAAAACTTACCTTTGGACTATCCTGATTGCAAATAGACTCCTTACAGTCGAATGTTCCATCTGGACCCAACTGAAGAACAGAGATATGAGTTGATACAATTTACAATGATAAATAAGCTAGGTACCTTATTTTGGATATCTGAACATTTGCTATTATCGGAGCTCTCCCCCAATTTAGCGTTTAACTCCACAAATTCACTTTCCTTTAGCGCCAAACTTACTAATAATTTCCCGCGAGACATAATTTAAACGTCCTTTATCTTAATAAACATGAACGGAAATGAAATAAAGTTTGAGAAACAAAATGATTTCGTTGCATAAAAAAGGCGCGTTTGAGTTGCGATAGTTTACGTTTCAACCGCCCAGACAAAACACAAGATTAAAAGTATCGTAACTCAAAAGTGATAGTATTGCACAAAACGTCTCTTACTTTTTTTGTGATGCTAAAGTATTTTAAATGCTATATAGGCTTGTTTGAGAACATTTTTAGTTACGATACTTTAACACATCATAGATTACACTTTTTGAGAGCACTTGCTAGAAAAAACAAAAAAAAATTTTTTTTTTACTTATGATACTCTTGCACTCATAGTACGACATATTAACACACACAAAGCTTCCAAGGATTTTAAATGTAACGAGTGTATTTACGCAACTCAAATATTCAGTGCAAACGATGCAATGCCGTGACCAGTAGTAGCACTCATTGCAAAGGCAAAATATGTATTAACCAAAGATGTGGAAGTTTTAAATGTGACCAGTGCATTATTAAAAGTGGGTAGTTACAAAATTATGTTACCAACCAAACATATGATTGTGTTACCAACTCATGATTAAAAAAAAGCTAATTTACAAAACTTTATTAATTTTGACCTTTTTACGCAATTCGTTACAAAAAATATTGTACCTAACTCTTTCGGAAAGAATTTTCCCGCATTCGCACTAAATGCAGCACTCCCTACGGTCGTGCTGCAAACAAAGTGCTCATGCGGGAAAATTAACTTACCGAACTTGTTAGGTAAATAACTATTCCTATTTCCATCATATTTCCCACCTTTTTTATGGGAGATTTTCGAACTTTACGCATTCATACACAATAAAACCCGTATATAGGTGTCGATATGGAAATGAAATGGGATAAAGTACCATATCAAATTCGCGAGCACGCGCTGCTATAAATAAACACTATCGCAAGATTGAAACTTCCCATACCAATTATTAGAATAATGACATCTGCGAACTCTGTTCTCTTTGAGGATAGCTTCTACGTCTTACTATAAAAAACCAGGGGGCTGCCTTAGACCCTAAGAGCTACTATATAAAACTAGGGGTAGTTCCTTGGGGATAGGATTAGGGGTTAGCTCCCCCACCCTACGAAATAGCTCACATCGGTATCTACAGCTCCTGACGTTGATGCTATAATTAAATACTATCGAATTATTGCGAGATTGCAGCATCCTCTCCCATAACCGCGGTTATTTTTTTCTCTAACTGATAACACATTTACATTCGTGCTTATTTAGCTGCAAATGTCGAGTGAGTAACATCTTCATATTGCTTTCACAACTTAATAGTTATTATTTTAGATCAAGAAATGTGCAATCATTTTTGCGAGGAGTCGAGGTAAACCTGCATGTATATTACTATACGTTTTAACCGTATATTTGTAGAACAAGAAACTACTATTATTTTCGGCGGGATAAACCCAGCGAGGTATAAAACCCCCCATGTATTACGTTTTAATTATATACCTATGTGTAGAACGGAGCGGGGATTTCCAATTATGAATAACAATGTCGGCATCCAAAAAAATAGGGGCGTTGCCGTCGTCGGTCCTCTTCGACGCAAATTTTATGTAAGTAGAGTAAGCGCTTTAATTGTAATAATAAACTTCAAATCGATATTTCAGATCTAAATAAAAACGCCCTACATTTTGTTTTTGTTGTTTTATTTCCCTACCCGCCCCTGTTCTGGTTGTAGGTTAGAATGGGGCCCCCTTGTGTATGTCTCTCAAATGGGGGAGCTACCTCCGAGATGGAATGATAGGTTAGAATTCTCCTCCCTTGCATCTCTCTCCTGAACCCTCGTATCTAACCGTTTGATAGTCGCATCAATCTAATAGAGGGAGCCGGTTGAAAATATACCTCTATATGCATTACGACGCCAATAGATGGCGCCTCCGTACCCTTAAAATAGGTTCGTTATAAATACAACTATCCAAGCATTATACCATAATAGTCTAATTAGCTCAGCGGTTATGCTATAGGACTTGTAATCCAATGGTTGGCGGTTCGAATCCGTTCCATTTAAAAAAAAATTTCAGGAGGTTCGATATAAATACAACTATCCAAGCATTATACCATAATAGTCTAATTAGCTCAGTGGTTATGCTATAGGACTTGTAATCCAATGGTTGACGGTTCGAATCCGTTCCATTTAAAAAAAAATTTCAGGGTACGAAGGGGTCGAAGTTTGAGGATTCCAAGATGGCGTCCAAGAACTTGAGGATTCCAAGAACTTGAGGATTCCAAGATGGCGTCCAAATGACGCCTGCGCAAAGGGGCGGGGCGCGCATGCGCACATCCAAACTGCTCCAAAAACACCCAAATGAACCTTAGAATTTCCCATAAGAAATAACATAGGATTTCGACCAAAAGTGGGCTCGAAGCCCCCTAGCTACTCTACTAGAATCCATAATTTCAAACAGTTCCAAGATTGGGCTACTATTTCAAAAGTTACAGCCCTTTGAATTTTTTTCGAAATTGGTTTCTAGTCTATAACTTTTGATTGAGAAGTCTGATCGAAAAAGTACAAATTGATTTGGATTCTACGCATCCAAATTAATAAGAAAAAGTGTTGATAGCGCGCATGAAGCCATAGAGCAATTAGGCAAAAACCACGACCAATCGCGCGTAACATTTTTAGTTACTAACGCGAAAATTTGTGCGGTCGCGCTTGATTAATTCCAGACAAATTTGCTTAGCAACAAGGTTATTCCTTGGTAGTTCTCTGGTCGCACTGATGACCAAGCACGAATTGATTAATTTCAATTTTCTTTAAGGTTCATGCACTGGTCTCGCTACGAATGCTTAGAATTTTTCCCCAAACCGAACCACCTCTATTCCGTATTAGTTAAAGAACGCTTACAAAATGGCTTCTCATTAACGCAGACGGCCATCTTTAATTTATGAATTTGATTAACTGCATTTGATTTGTGTATTTTCTCTTGCATTTTGTTGTCATAGTTGATTCGTAAGAACATTACACTAAAAATGGTGACCATATGATTAGTAATCATTACATTGATTAGAGTAAACGTTTGTTCTTAAGGATCTAGTTATTCTTCTTCGTCTCCATTTTCAGCATCATATGTAACGTTTAACAAGTATAAGAAAGCACTCTGATTAAGCGATTGATAGGTAGGTATAGGTGATAGTTGACGTACATATTTCAAACAGATATGCCTTCGTCTAATTTAAAATGACACAATTAAAATTTGAATTGTGAACTAAAACAGAGCATCTATTTATTATTATTATGGTCAGCCTGTCTTGTCAGAACTCAGGTCTAGCCTGGTTAACTATTATTATTATTATTAAAAAACACTAGAAAAATGTAAGATTTTAGATCACCTTCTTTAGAACAATGTAATGATTGGAAACCTTTTTCGAGAACTCCCGATTCACACAATGTGAACATTACAAGTACCTACACTCACGGTTATACAGTGCGTTGACTTCATGATCTACCTTACATTACCTGTTGTAAGTGTCGATTACCGGTTTGATTCATGGTAATTCAGGTCTACTCCGCTAAATCTCTCTGAAGCTATTAAATAATTGAACTCTGCCCCTTCTGGTACTCACCATACATCATTCACGATCAAATCACTTCCACTAAGAAAAATAAAAAAACTGGGAGCGCTAGAGATGTGATAATACTGCATAATCACATTGTTTACAATAAATTAAACGTTTATACAACGAAGTAAAAGAAACGTCTATATATACACATCACAACCACGGATGCCAAGCGGGATCCATTCGACACAAATTGTCATGGCTGCTGGCGGCTGCAACCAAAGTTCCGATCTACGAATAAAAAACCATCGATTACTCACTCACCAATTCTACCGAATTACATACTTTGCTATCCAATCCGTCGAAATGAGCGAGACTGTTAAGTCTATTATTGACCGCCGCCACTGCCTTATTTACAACCGTGATTAACTGCTCGCTATCGGTCAATTTCTCTTGATTGTTCGATTCGCCGTCGTCCGATTTTTTTATTCGCGACAGCACCATTTCGTCTCGCAATATCGTCTTTAAAATCGCTTGAACCTGAAAGACGACACTACTGACTCGACGCGCTTACGTCAATATCGTACAGACCTTGAAATTTGGATAGACGAAGCACCTCGCGGTTGCGATCATTGCGGCGGTTAGGGGGCCGTTAACGCTAACGGCCGACAGAAATTCGAGTATATTGGGAGTCAGTCTAAATGGAACGGGCCTAGTTGTGTCTAATTCACCTAGAAAAGTACAGGTAAGTACGCGCATGCGCAGGACTACCTCTTATTTATAAATATGTGCTGAAATGTCGACTATAATTTATACTAACAGAAAACCGAGCAAGGTGTTTTCTTGAAATTTTAACCATAGACCATAAACCAGTTCTAATCTAAATTGAAGAGTTCGAATGTGTAAGGGCAACCTACACCTACTTTCCCTAATTTTATGTGTTGTGTTGTTCTCCCAGTACCCAGTGAAAAGCTATGACATACTCCATGAATTAGGACCAGATAACCCTACCACGCAGCTACATTATATTCTCCTGATACAAGAGTTTAAATGAACATAGTTCTTTTGAGTTTATAAAAATTATGTTCTCCTGGTAAGCAGAGGAAATTTACAACAGACACCTTGTGAATCAGGAGCAGCAACACCTCCTCGAACATCATATTCTCCTGATACTAAAGTACAGGTGCACAATCTTAAGATTGGAAAAACCATAACCAGAGAAAATTTACAGCATTTCTCTAACAGATAGATCGGGAATTAGGGGCAGAAACACCTCTCGTCCTTGTCCTTGTCCTGATGTAAAAGTATCAAAAATAGTGTTGAAAAATTTGTTTTGAGATTAGAAAAAGACCTTATGCATTATGTTTTCCTGGTAGCCTGAGAAAATTTACATTTTCCTAACAGACACTCCGTGAATTAGAGGCAGAGGCACCTGCACGAACATTATATTCTCCTAATACAAAGTTTAAACGAAAATTATTCCTTTTTCAGAACCAGTACCCCCCCCCCCCCCTACCCACCGCCACTAACAAAGTTTTGGACAATTCTCCACACTATGTAGTTCAAAATCAAAACCATAGAAGTTGGTCATTTTTTAAATTAAACAAAAAATGCCCTGCAAAGTGAAGCATCTGAATAACTCAAGCAGAAGAATTGTAACGATTTGAAGAAACAAAAAAATTTTTTAAGATTTTGAAGAATTTCGACAACAATTCGAAGAAATTAAAGAATCCAGAAAATTGAAAAGACTATTTGAAGAATAGGAATGATTTTTAAAAATGCGAAGATTAAAAAAATCAAAAGGTGAAGAAACCTAACATTTCACAGAATCTTAAGGGCCTATACGTAGTCAGCAGAAAATATAAAGCATCGATAGCATTCTCCGAAACTGAAGCATTTAAAGCATAAGAAAAATTTAAAAAAAATTGAAGAATTCGAAGAAATCTACAGATGAAGAATTTGAAAAACGATTTAGATTTGAAGAATATGAAAATAATTGAAAAAATCTGCAAGTGTTTGAAGCACCCAAGATGAATTCGAAGAATTGGAAACTGGGAAAGTGAAGAATTTGGAGATATGGAAGGATTCAGTAGTGCTAGAAGATTTACCTCGAGCTTAGAAAAAGCTCATGGATAAACAGACCTCACAGAGTATGTTCTCCTGGTAACTAGAAAAAATTACATTTTTTTAACAGACACTTCACAAATTAAGAGCAGAGGCATCTGCTCGCTATTATTCTTCTGATACGACAGTTTAAACGAAAATAACCCCTTGAGATGAAGAAGATAGTTCCTCGTAGATTCTGTTGCCCTGGTAATCAGAGTAAATTTCTAACATTTTTGTACAGTATACAATCCATGGATTATGGGGGGGTCTGGGAGGTATGTAAAAAGAAAAAAAATGTCCCTACATCTGTCATAGAACCTTCGAATACTGGGGGGTATTTAATATGTTCTGTCTTAAAACGCTCAGCCCTAAGGACTGAGGTATGGAATACTCCTAGTATACAAAGGTCTTATGACAGTTGTAGGGAAATTAGTTCTTTTTCCTAGGGGGGAGGGGTGTTCCATACACCCCCCCCCACCCTCGGTTTGATACTGTTCATCCTTAACACCATTATTTTTTGCAGGGACGTAACAACTTAGGAGCGGGCCCTGGTGCAACACCAAACATACGGGCCCCACTGCATCATTAAAAAAAATCACTAGCATAATAGTTTATTGAACAATGCACAAAAACGTATGGCTGAACAATGGTAACCAACATGATAACATAAATTCAATTCAATATAAGACAGCTACCATACCTACATACCTTCTAATACTGCCGATTTGTAATTGTAACCCAGCATCAACGATGTACGTAAAAATAAAAGTTTTGAGCCTTAACGATATACGATTCGATTAATGAAAAACTAACACTCGTGAGTTGGGGCACGCACAAACTGACAAACGCGAAAAACGAAACAAACAAATTATTTAATCCAGTGAGCCAGTGTAATAATTTTTAATTTTAAAACCTTAGAAACACAATTTAAAATAACTTCGAAGCGAAGGGTAAAGTAAAACTGCCATGCAAGTGCAAGAAAAGAAATGTTCTTTAAAATACGCGTAGGTAGCAAAACAAACGAACGAATATGATTTATGGTTACTGAACTAAAATTATTAACATCAAGAATGCCGCATCCGGCATCGGCATGAGGCATCATATAACACTTTTTACTGGTAAATTTGCTTAAACGTGATGGACGTGTTGTAAAGGGATTAAAATGAATTCTTAGAGTCGGTCCCTACCACAGTGCGCTTATCTCTTAAAGGAAGGATTATGATTCATGAAGGTCTGCCGATATATTGCTAAATTTACATTTTAACAGAATAAGTACAATAATAACCAATTTCTTAAAATCCTTCTGTACCCCATATTTTTTAGTAATTTCTTGTTCTAACATTATACCTTTCATTGATTATGTAACAGTAACATAGAAATAGTTTAAACAAAGTAAACGCCGGGCCGGGCCCCTTCGGCGCCCGGGCCCTGGTGCGTCGCACCAGTTGCACCTCCTGTTGCTACGTCCCTGATTTTTTGAGAGTCGCAGATAAAGAGAACCCATTTCTTACAACTGCCATAAAACCTTCATATACTGGAGAGTATTCCATCCCCCCAGACTGGGGTTCTGGGGGTATGGAATAACCCCCTCCCCCCGAAAAATAAGTTTCCCTACAATGGACTTAAGACCTTTGTGTACGGGCAGTAATATGTTCTGCCTCAAAACGTTCACAGCCCTATAAGGACTCTTTCCTCAACTCTCCAAAAATGCTCGTGTTAAGTAAAACAATACCACACCGGGGTTCTGTGGGGTAATCCAATACCCCCCAGGAAAAGAGAACAAATCTCCCTACACCTGTCATAAAACAGATATTCCATAACCCCTTAGAACCCCTGTGACAAGTTCTGCCTCAAAACGTTCAGCCCCAAGGACTATTTCCTAGACTCTCCAAAAATCGTGGTGTTAAGTAGAACAATATCAAACCGTAGGGGGAGGGGGGGTCTGGGAGGTATGGAAAAACAAAGCAAATTTCCCATACCCCCCCGGGAGGAAAAAAAACAAATTTCCCTACATCTGTCATAGAACCTTCCTATACTGGGGGGTATTTAATATGTTCTGCCTTACTCCCTCCAGGAAAAAAAAACAATTTCCTTAAAACTACCATATCACCAACTGTCAGGTACTCCCCAAAAATCATGGTGTTAAGGACAAACAACACCAAATCGGGGGTCTGAAAGGTATGGAATACCCCCCACCCCCTGGAAATAGAACTAATTTCCCCTACAATTGTCATAAGACCTTCGAATACTGGGGGGAATATTAGACCTCCCCTGGTAACATGTTCTGCCTCAAAACGTTAAACCCTAAGTACTCTTTCCCCAATTTACAGCATTTTTTGAACAGATACTTCGGAAATTAGGGGCAGGAACACCTGCTTCACATTATATTCTCCTGATACAGCTCTTAATAAAAGGAGTGTTTCCTTGAAGTTAGAAAAGACCCCCTCATGGATTATATTCTCCTGATAGCCAGACAAAATTTACATTTTTCTAACACGCAGAAACACTTCCTCGTACATCATATTCTCCTGATACTAACGAAAGATAATCTGTTGAAACATTTGTCGTGAGCTTAAAAACAAATTTCCATTTTCCTAACAGAACAGGAGCAGAAGCACCTTTTGTACAGGGTGGCCAAATAAGAATGTGAGGTACTGTATCTGGGAACCTGTCCATCGTAGAGGCTTGCGGTAAAAAAAGTTATTACTAAAACGGTCACGAGAAAAACCTGGAAAATATTTTTAAGTTTCTGAAATGGCGCTAGGGGGCGGAACTGCCATCTGGAATCTAAAAAAGTGATTTTTCTGTGCATTTCGCTATATTAACTCGGGTTAATTGAAAAGAGTTATTCTTTGGCTACAAATATTATAATATTTGAAGTTTTGTTAGTTTCACATATCGCCGCTTGAGGGCTATTTTGACATTCCGACAGAAATGGTTAATTTTCTCAAAAAATTAAAGGCGATGGTTTGATTTTTTTTTCATGAAAAAGTAGCTAAATGATGCCTAAGCAAGCTCGCGAAAACCGCATCTCGATATCTTGTTCCTAACATAACATTTAGGCCAAAAAAAAATTGTATACCCTCAAAATTCTATTTTTTTAAGCTAATTTTTCTCAAGATATCGAGATGCTGTTTTCGCGAGCTTGTTTAGGCATCATTTAGCTACTTTTTCATGAAAAAAAATCGAACCAATGCATTTAATTTTTTTGAGAAAATTAACCATGTCTGTGGGAATGTCGAAAAAAGCCCTCAAGGCGTGATATGTGAAACTAACAAAACTTCAAATAGTATAATATTTGTAGCTGAAGAATAGCTCTTTTGAACTAACCCGAGTTTGTTTAAATCGGCTCAGCCGTTTCGAAGATACAGGGTGTTCTTTACGGAAACCTTTGAATACCCCCCACCACTTCATTTTTAGAGATACAGGAAAAATTGTTAAACAAAAATTGTTCAGATTATCGTCAACTTCAAAGACCGGATATTTTTTGTTAGGTTAATATAGCGGAATTCGCAGATACATCACATTTTTAGATTCCAGTAAAGTCACTAGATATAGAAAGTACCGCAATCATCCGCCATTTTTGGGCAAATTTTCTGCCAACTTAAAAAAATTGACAAATAAAATCTGAATAGCTGTAATTTTTTCTAACCTAACTTCATAGTACTGTCATGTTTTATAAAAATATATACAGATATCTCCAACCCAAAAAGAATACCAGGAAGGAGAATATAAACAATATACGTGCGACCGCGATGGCTTTTGCAAATGGCGGACAGTAGTTTCCTGTTCCAGTGGCGTACCTACCTTACAGTTGTAGAAGGATACAATATAAAGAATTTTGCACGAAAACAATCTAAACCCCCATGTGTCTACTACGCCTATGACTTTTTTTTAACTAACCTCAAACTACATTCCGATAAAAAATTTGTAAATTTACATGTACTATATAAAAATAATATTGGTATCAATACTTACATATGAAATGTAATTCCCAAACTTTTATTTTTTTCCGTTTTGGAACAACCACAAGCACAACAACTAACCATTATTTTATGTCACTGCAAAAACCCCAACAAAAATGAGTCATAAGTGGCTTTTGCAAATGGCCGACTCCCGTCCCACTCTCTCTTGTATACAACCTGAGTAATACTCCTTCCTGGTATTATTTATTCATTGCTCCAAACAGATGGAACAATCCCTAACATTAAAGTTACTAGAATCCGGTAACTTCCGCCATTTTTGGGCAAAAATCATGTGTTCTCTCTCTAACACACGAGCCCAATGGATTGCGGTACTTTCTATATTTAGTGACTTTACATTCCAGATTGCAGTTACGCCCCCTAGCGGTCATTTCAAAAACTTAATATTTTCCAGGTTTTGCTCGTGGCACTTTTTTACCGCAAGCCTCTACGATGGATAGATTCTCAGATACTTACCTCGCATTCTTAGTTGGCCACCCTGTACATTGTATTGTCATCATAAAGGAAAATAAGATGTTTCTTTTGAGCCTAGAAGGAGACATCCTCGTGGATTGTGTTTTCCTCATGACCAGAGACAATTTTCAGTATTGGGCAGACTAACAGCTCCTCGCCATTATATTCTCCTGATACATGCTTAAATGAAAATAGTGTTGGAACATTCCCTTGAGCTTAGAAAAAGACCTCATGCATTATGTTCTCCTAGCAGACAGAGGAAATTTACAATCATTGAGTGAGCTAAGAACAGAAACTCATGCTCGATATATAGTCCTGCTATAAATTTTGGAAAATGTCGCTGAAGCTCTTTAGGGATTGTATTCTGGGGGGCAAAAAAATCACAGGAGCAGATACACTTTATTGAGCGTGTCAAAAATAAAGTGAAGTGAAAGTATTGCCATGGACGCATGCGCGGGACGAACCTTCTTGTATCGTGTCAAAATGTGCGCATGCGCAGGACCATTTTGTTTTTTTTTGAGTGAATAAAAGCAAAGCAAAGAAATGCCAACCTCCTTATCTGTACGCAAACAAATGATTTTTGTTTTTGTATTTTCGCGCACTAATTTTTGTCCAACTGTTACAAGTGGGCGTGGCTAACTCTCACCTGTACTATCGTCGACGTCAAACTTAAAATACGAAATATTCACAAGACCAGAATCCTGATGCATGTACATCATGTCGGGATTAAGGCGGGTCAAATGTAAAACATACTCCGCGAAACAGGCCAACGACAACTGTAGGGTAAACTGAAAGTGTCGTTCGTTAGTAGGCGCGAATATTCCGGACGTTACCTACCATCTTCCGAAACTGCCAATAGTCCGTGGCCGATTGAAAAGTGGCGAGCGCCCATTTCCTTAACATGTTTCTCGGTACCATTATGTTTTGCACACCCTTCAGTATGTCACGATACACCTGGTGGCTCGCCTTGATACCTCTACTTTGGATTGTTGTAATTAGCAGATTCCAAACAAAAATGCAGTAGAATTGGTAGAATATCGAGGCTTCTTTAATTCAAAGTTAATAAGGAGATTCAGTTCCAATTCTAATATTTTTCTATTGTCAAAAGATTACAAGTCAACAACAATTTCTATAACAACCAACACAGTTTTTTTTTTACAGCTACTATCATGAGGCCTAGTACGCTTCGCTGCACTATCTTGTGCATTTCACAATACTCTCAACACTTGCCCTTGAAATGCTTAAGACCTATTTTGTGTTTTTCAAACTGCAAATCCCAATGCGGCTTCGCAGACTCTCAAACACAGCCACCGAGTCGATCCTCTTTGTCATAATGTCCGCTAGCTGATTCTCAGTTGCGACATGCTCAACATCTAATCGCCCTTCAGCTACCAAATCTCGAATCCAGAAGAATCTTACTTCAATGTGCTTCGTTCGTCTATTAATCAGCTCACTTTGAATTAGATCAATACAGCCGATATTGTCGATTTTCAGACTTGGCTTCGTCATCTCATCTCTCCTTTTTGTGTCATCCAATAATTTCTGTAACCACACGACATCCTTCGCAGTCTCACCTGCAGCAATTAGTTCAGCCTCTGCGGTAGATTGCGCTACGCACTGTTGTTTCCTGCTTGCCCAGGTGACCGCTGTTCCTCCAATCAAACACACGACACCTGAAGTTGACTTTCGGTCAGCCTGATCTCCTGCATAGTCCGCATCTGAATACGGCACCAGCTCGTCCTTCTGCCCCGCCTTATAAAGCAGACCCAAATCAAAGCTTCCTCGCACGTACTTCATTATTTGTATAACATCTCGCCAATCTCTTTTGGTCGGATCAGCCACCTTCTTTGCAGCTTGATTTACCGAATATGCAAGATCTGGTCGAGTATAACAGGCGGCATACATCAGTTTTCCAACCACCGTCTGGTACTTCTTCTTCATTTCCTCCTCCAGACGTGGTGTTTTGTCCTGTTCTCGATGATTTGCCCCAGGTAGTCTCACGGAGTTGCACTTCTTCATCTGGAAATCTTGCAGCACACGCTCCAGGTACGCAGACTGGTGGAGAAATACCGCACCATCAGCACCGCGCTTAATCTGCACTCCCAGATAACTTGAGACATCACCAAGTGTTAACTGAAACTCAGTTTTCAGTGCTGCCAGCACCTCCTCAATTTTCGCTTGCTCTCTTCCAAGAATAAGACCGTCATCAACGTATAATAGCAGCAATGTCATATCATCTTCTCGAATATAAAGACACGGATCAGCTTGGCTACGCTTGAATCTTATCTCAGTCAACTTTTGATGGATCTTCACGTTCCAGCACCTTGGAGCTTGCTTCAGACCATATAGACTTCTTTTTAGACGCCAGACTCGACCGCTTCTGTCATCGAAACCTTCAGGCTGACGCATGTATACCTCCTCATGAAGATCACCGTTCAGAAAAGCTGGCTTTACATCAAATTGGCTGATTTTCATATTATACTGCGATGCCATCTGCATTACGAACCGGAAAGTGTCTGCCTTGGCCACTGGAGAAAAAGTCTCACCAAACTCATCTATGCGCTGGCGACATCCTAATGCAACTAGTCTTGCCTTAAATCTTGAGATTGAACCGTCCTCTGCAAGCTTCAGCTTCAAAACCCACTTGGCTGGTAGCAGCCGTTTACCTGGTGGCATCTGCACGAGCTGGAATACCTGGTTGTCGATCAGCGAGTCAATTTCCTCCTGCATCGCAAGTTTCCACTCATCCGCATGCTCGCTCTGCATTGCCTCCTTTGCAGTCTTTGGTTCAGGAAATGCAGTTATCATCGCTACTGCCACCAAGTTAAGTTTCTCGGGAGCCTTCAGATTCTCACGAGGTCGAAGGTTTCTAACCGGAGCATCTTCTGGCACTGGATCTGCCAGGTCTTCCTCATTAAGCTCCACCTCGTCATTCAATTCGACTGGATCTAGCTCAACCACCACTTTCTCTGCTTGCCCTTGCTTGACAGTCTCATCGTCCACCTCAGTGTGGATCTCTAGAGTATGCACTTCAGGAACAGCCTTTGCTCGTTCCTCCACATTTTCAATCAATGGACCTGTCAAGAACTTCACATGCTTGGACGTCCACACCGTGTGCTTGCTTGGAAGCCAGACTCGGAAGCCATCATCACCTACGTACCCAACAAGTCTGCCCTCGATCCCTTTTGCCTGCATCTTCCTGCGTTGCGTCCGATAATCAAGTACAAAGCATGAGGTTCCAAATGGTCGCATATGTTGCACCGTATGTCTCTTACCGGTCCACAGCTCTAACGGTTGCTTGCCCTTGATTTGAGATGGTGCTGCCCGATTTAAAGTGTATGCTGCTGTGACCACTACCTCATCCCACAGAAACTCTGGCAGACCCGAACCGTGCAGCATTGACCGTGCAGCTTCTTGTACCGTCCGATTCTCACGCTCAACCAACCCATTCTGTTGAGGAGTGTACGGCATCACAATCCTGTGCTCGATTCCCTCAGCACTCACCAGTTGTCGCACCTTCTGGTTATCAAACTCCCCTCCGCCATCCGTCTGAAGCTCTTTGATGACATGCTGAAGTGCCTTTGCCCGTGCGATGAACGTGGTCAGGTGTCCCACCAACTGGTCCTTTGACTTCATCAAGTATACCTGTCTGTAACTGGAGAACTCATCCTTGAAAACTGCAAAGAATCTCGATCCCCCTCTGGCAATTGGCTCGATTGGTCCACAGACATCCGCATGAACTCGGTCTCCTGGAGCAGTAACATCCTTCACCCTCCTTCCGAAGCTGACTCGATGGAACTTCCCTTTCAAGCAACCTTCGCAGTCACCGCAGTCATCATCTATGTCTCGGATATTCACCCCTTCGTCCCTCATCAACTGGAGCAAGTCCTTCTTGTTAAGATGTGCAAACGTCTTGTGCCACATCCTCAGGCTCTCCCTCCGCTGACTCAGCAAAGCTTGTTCATGGTTGATCATTACAGCTGGCATCTTGACCTCGAAGTTACTCATCTCGCACATCGAGTTCACCATTTTCCCCGCCAAGTACCTCTCTCCCATTGGAAATCCTCGTCTGTTCTTCTTGTACAAGCCCCACTGCTTACTATCTCCCAGCTGGCACATATCAACAAACTTATTCAGGATCATCCCTACTGAGACGAGATTGGCACGAAACTCTGGAGCGAACCACATGAGCATTATCCAGTTGTGCGTCTGCCCATCACAATTCACGACCATTTCAACTGTTCCCATACCCACTGCATGACTGATTCCATTGCCCACCGTCACCGACTTTGGTTCACTGAAGGGTTGATAGGATTGGAACATGTGAGGTGATGAAATGAAATGTACACTGGCTCCACTGTCTATGTACCACGGTTTAGCACCTTTTTTGGACTGAGGTGTCATCGCCAATTCACCGCTGGCTGCCATTGCTTGCCCGAATTCTGCAGCAATCGCCAGGTTACTTACTAAATTAGTTTTCTTACCCTCTTTCTTCCCTGGACAGGCCCTTGCCCAGTGACCCTTCATCTGGCAATGCCTGCAGACATCATCTGGTTTCGGCGTTCTGGCAGTTTTCTTTCCACTGGAGGTGCTCGACCTACTTGCAGACGACTTTTTTGCTTGTTGTCTCAGCACAGTACTCGCCACCAACCCGTGCACACCACTGCTCTCTGCCTGTTGCTCGCGCTGCTCTCTGGCAACCAGCATCTCAACCAATCGATCGTATGTCTGCTTCTCCTCTGGTTGCGTGTCCCATAGATCCAAGAAATCTATGTACCGCTCCTGAGGTAGACTGTTCACCAGCATGAAGTTCAACAAAAAGTCTGGTAGAACAACCTTTTTCTCCTGTTGACTGGCAATCTGTAGTTCCATCCAGGTTGACTGCACCCTTGCTGCATGAGTGGTTACGTCCTCTTCATCAGACTTCCTCAGCGTCACCAGCTTAGTCAGCAACCGATAAACTCGACTCGACGTCTTCTGCTCGTAGATGGACAATAGTTTCTTCCATATTTCGTATGGGCTAGTACATGCTGAAACCTTGAACAGGCCCTCATCAGAGAGAGTAGATCGCAGGCAATGCCTAGCCATTGCAGCCTTCTTCTGGTACTTGGCAAGCTTCTTGGTATGCTCTGCAATCGCTGCTGCATCCGATTGTGCTTCCAGACTCGGTTTTATGAAAGACTCCTCAATAGCATCAGCTACATCGGCGATAGTTAGAATATCCTCAATTGACATCTTCCACTCGCTCCAATTCTCGGCTCCTTTCAAAGGTTTTACATCTATCTTTTTCATATTGACTGAATTTCTACTTAAATCCGGCACTCAACAAAATTTTACCAACGTTACAAGACTACCATAACCTGTTGTAATTAGCAGATTCCAAACAAAAATGCAGTAGAATTGGTAGAATATCGAGGCTTCTTTAATTCAAAGTTAATAAGGAGATTCAGTTCCAATTCTAATATTTTTCTATTGTCAAAGATTACAAGTCAACAACAATTTCATAACAACAACACAGTTTTTTTTTTAACAGCATACTATCATGAGGCCTAGTACGCTTCCGCTGCACTATCTTGTGCATTTTCACAATATCTCACAACTTTAACATAAGGTCAGGTACTTTTGATGCTATAGATTTGTCTATATGTTCGCCCTCATTCCACACTAGTCTAAAATGGGAAGTGGAAAGTGATTTGTACAATAGTGACCATTTCCCAATAATTATTACCGTACGAGGTAATAATCCTGCGATTAAGTCTGCGGTTAAATTTAAAATTCAAAAAGCTAACTGGGAAAAATTTGTTACCCACCTTGTAGTCCCGAATGAGGAGCAAGTTTGTCTTAAAAGTCTTACATCTGCTATTTTGGATGCAGCGGAGGCTAGTATACCAAAATCCAAAGATCGCAAAAGGACTAAAATGGTTCCATGGTGGTCTCCAGAAGTAGGAGAAAAAATCTCGTTAAAGAAACGAGCCTTACAAAGATTCCGCCATCATCCAACATTGGA